TGTGTGTGTGTGTGTGTGTGTGTGTGTGTGTGATAATCAACGCACGTAAGTAATGTAAGTATCGCTTTTTGTAAGGTCTATTGCTTCAAAGTTTCTACCAGAACCTACTTATATTTCTGCTGTGAAATGTTTTCCTTTTTATTTATTGTTCTTTCATCACAAAAAGTGTCATGGATCACGAAATCACGATCATGGCATCTCAGTTCACTTCACACTAACACACGCAGTTTAATTCCGCACACAAGTGAATGTATATATATTGGAGTATACATATACATGTGCATATATATATATATATATATATATATATATATTCTATACTAATATAACGTTCACGCCTATTATATACTTAAATGGATCACATTGTTTACATGATGGTATGTTAAAAGCTATAGCTCAAAACACTCTACTGAATATACTATACATATTTATTAAATTTAATCTCATGTATTAAATTTCAATTTCGCTCTATTCTATTCGAGTCGGGTAAGTCGGACTTTTCTCGCAAGATAAGGTAGGTTTGATTGTTCGATAAGAAAGAGATTAAACTATGCGAAAAGTATATGTAAACTTCGTGCAGTCATGTGTAAGTAAAGGTATGTGTGATGTAAAATATATTTACAAGTGACATTTACAACATGCAAATAACATACGGCAAGTGAAATTCCTTGAATTTACGAATTGCGAATACATTGCAGATGTTTACATATGCAAAAAAAAAACAATAGAATATATCGTTGAGTGGACTTTTACAAAACTGTTTTTCTTTCCAGAGTATTGATTTTTTTTTTTTTTTTAAATTTCTCACTCGATCAATGTGAATTTATGTGTTATTTGGGTTTGGAATTCGTTGTGCTAATCGGTGACTTGTTGATGTCATTTTCATCAAAAATTAATTTAAATTTCGTTTTTCGATTAAAACTAAACTTCTCCGGGGCTTATTAAAAATCAGATCGAAGCTCAAACAAAAGCTACGTTTATTTTATTGAAAAATGTTGTTAAAGATAATAACGTTAATTCTTTTGGTATCCATTTCGGAATATGAGATTATGAAGAATTTCCACTTTGCGGGTGTAGGTATAGCGAGGTTTCGATCAGTGAAAACAAGAAGAATTTTCAGTAAAAATATTTTTTTTTATTTCATAAAATAACAAGTTTATACATTCATCAGTTGAATTGCATTGTAATCAAATATTCAAGTTTTTCATCTGAATCGTATAGTTCATTTGATAAACACCTTGTACTCGAACTGTAATCACCTGCATTACAATTGTATACACGAGGAAAACGTCCGAAACGCTGATCAAACGATGGCATCGTGATGTTGTACCCTTATTCAGGCGCCTGTAAAATATAAGTACCTTTGCTAAGATAATCGAACTATCAATAAGTTACATACAACATACAGTTACCAAAAGTGCGAGGATGAAAAATGAGGATAATTTTATTGTTACAAACTTTGACGAGTCAAAAATACACAGCGACATTTGCAGTAACGGTAACAGGTATGGAAGGAAAGCACGAAAAATTTATCATTATCACTGGAAAAAAGTTGGTCGCCCTGCGCCACCGTAGGTATACAGTCACGCCGTGTACTCACTTTCTTGGTCGCGCCGCATACCTGTTTTGGGCGCGCTGCGCACCCAAAGTACCTGGCGCGCGGGACAACTAAAATTTAGATGTGCATTTACAACATGCAAATAACATACGGCAAGTGAAATTCCTTGAATTTACGAATTGCGAATACATTGCAGATGTTTACATCTGCAAAAAAAAAACAATAGAATATATCGTTGAGTGGACTTTTACAAAACTGTTTTTCTTTCCAGAGTATTGATTTTTTTTTTTTTTTTAAATTTCTCAAAACTCATTTTGTTTATCACATTTTACACCTCGACACTTTATTTAACGATATAAGCAATTCGTGAATATAGCTTCATGAAAAAAAGTAAGTATAAGTGCATCACTACACTTGTAAAGATAATAGAAATTTAAATTTTTGAACGGGGTACTTTTTGGGTAAAAATTCAGCAAAATGGTAAATTGAAAATAAATTTTTATTTTTTTCCAAACAGAAAATACAAGGAAGGTTTATACTTTTGTGAACAGAAACGTCAATATTTTTATTTATAAATATAAAATCAATAAAAAATACATTTTCACACGTACTTAACACATTATATTGAATTAAAACGAAAGTATAAAATATGAATAAAAGAAAACTCATGCGTCGTTACAAATAACGATACTTATATATTATTTACATGTATAGCTTTTGCTAGCCTATATAGTATACATCAGTCATAACCAAGGGGAACGATTATTTCGTGGATCAGCTCTATCGTGCACCTGTCCAGTGCGCACAGATCAAAGTCAATGATATTTTCTGCCAAGTTGTACTTTCCTGTGTCANACCGGAAAATTATCGATGACTCGATTTTTCCTCACCGATAATCACACACGTGCACCCAATCGAGGCTCTTTTCGCGCCAAAGATACAAAAAAGCCCGCGCGTGACTTTTACAATTCCTTTTGGCTTTGACTACACCGTGGTTTGATGATGCATTGAAAAAAGTTGACCCCCTCCCCTCCCCGCCTTTACCGAAAATCGATTTTTCACCGTACGCTCCGTCAGCAGAGTTGTTGCCTTTTTCCGCTCATTCGATTATACCCGCAAAGTCTATTAAACTCTAACGGTGGGGTGTATAGGGGGGAATTGTTGATGTACCCAATCGAGGGTTAAACAAAAATACGGTGCAATGGCACTCGGTGACAAAAAAAAAAAAAAAGATTCGAACAAGGTTGATCTGAGCAATATTTTATGTATGCATTGGTATACGAAGAATTTTAGAAAATTCATCGTATCTTTGTTTTCATGCAACAAGCTGACTATTAATAACTTAAAATTTAAAGTTGTGCACTACATTGATTGATTTATTGAAAATACAAAACAAGAAGGTACCAAGAGAGTGATTATATACTTACAGGGGCGCTCATGAGAATGGGATGCGTAATTTTGCTACTTTTAGATTCACTGGAACTTTTTGACTTCTCACGATTATCCTTTTTTTCTTTTTCCCGACTGCCATCCCTCTTCTCTTTTTTGTCTTTGCTTGTGTACTTGTTTTGAGATTTGTCGGATTTTTCACTCTTTGACTCTTTCGACTTTTCTTTCTCACTTTTTTCTATTTTCTCTGGCTTTAAAATTTTTTCTTCTTTAGGCTTCACGTCTTCTTTCAAAGTCTTTGGCGATTTCTTTTCCTCTTTTATCAGTTTTGTTTCTGATTTCTTCTCTCCTTTTGAAGACTTTTCGACCTTGTTCTTGCTTCTCTTTGCCCTTTTTTTATCCTCACTTTTGTCTCGTACTTTATCTTTTTTTTCCTTATCCCGATCTCCTTCGTGTTTCTTCCTTTCTTCCTTACGATCGCTTTTACTTTCTTTTCCGCTCCTTCCAGATCTAACTTCATCTCTTGTGCTCTTAGAGCTGCCCTTTAATTTCTCTTCTTTTCTCCTGTCCCTGTCTTTTTTAGGATGTTTTTTACTTTCTTTTTCTTTGGGTTTTGACGATGGCGAGGATAACCGCTTCACAGTTGGAGCAAGTGAAGATGTTTTATCCTTGGAAGGCCTTTTATCCGAACTGTGTTGACTCGCCTAAAGGAAGAACATTAAATATAACAATCCATTTCATTAGGTTTGTTCAAGCAAATTCTCGGTGAGACTCGGAGAGACTCTGAGAGCCACTGAGAATGGAATGAACAAGTGTTCTTTTCCGAGTGTCTCCGAGAGACTCCGACTGTCCCCGAGAATGTATATGCACACGTTAGGTTAGATAAGTACAAAAAGTAAACTTAATGTCTCAGTGTTAGAGTGAATCTACATAGGATTTTAATTTATCTAACCTAACGTGTGCATATACATTCTCGGGGACAGTCAGAGTCTCTCGAGACACTCGGAGAAGAACACTTGTTCATTCCATTCCCGGAGGCACCCAGAGTCACTCCGAGTCTCACCAAGAATTGGTTTGAAGAAACCTATTGATATTTTCAACCAAACGAATAATTAGACATACCTTGCTGACACTGGGACTTGAAGATCTTTTTGACTTATCTTTACTCTTCTCCTTGTCCTTGACTCGATCTTTTTCCTTCTCTTTCTTTTCCTTTTTTTCTTCCGATGACTTATCCTTTTTGCTATCCTTGTGGTGGCTATGTTTAACTTTTGTACTCTTGTCAACTTTGTCGGACGTTTTCTTGATCTGCTGCGTGAGTTTTGCAATTTTAATTGGAGGACCAAAAATATCGTTGAATTGATTGGAAGTTTTGGGCTCTACAATTTTACGCTTCCTCGCTTCGGAGTTGCCACTCAGCTTGGGTTTGCCAACCAATGACAGCGTTTTCGTCTGGTTCTTTTCCAACGGATTACCAACGTTTGTGGGAACCTGGTGTAACAGATAGAATTTTGTGTTTAATCCCGATAGATTGTCCTTTTGGTGCAAAATGATTGAACAAAAAAATACTTACGGCACCACCCTTCATCAACTTTTTCCTGAATCCTTCAGTGGGATTAACAATCACCTCATGCAACGAAGCGTGACTAACAGTTTTCTTATCCTCCTGGTGCGTAAGCTTTGCAGTCTTAATTGGAGGACCAAACAGATCTGTAAATTGATTCGAAGTTTTGGACTCTGCAATTTTACGCTTCCTCGCTTCGGAGTTGCCACTCAGCTTGGGTTTGCCAACCAATGACATCGTTTTCGTCTCGTTCTTTTCCAACGTATTACCAACGTTTGTGGGAACCTGGTGTAACAGATAGAATTTTGTGTTTAATCCCGATAGATTGTCCTTTTGGTGCAAAATGATTGAACAAAAAATTAGCTTTATGAGTACAATATCAACCATACAGCTAGATTGCAAAATGATTGAACAAAAAAATACTTACGGCACCACCTTTCAGCAACTTTTTCCTGAATTCTTCAGTGGGATTAACAATGATCTCATTATGCAACGAACGGTGACTAACAGTTGGAGTTGAGGTGTCGAGATTCAGATTATACAGGATGTCAAAGCGTTTTGGTTCATTTCTGTTTTTTAAGTACACTTGAATTGGAATTTCAAAACCGGCGTAGCCAGATTCCGTGAGACAGTACGGAGGCTCTTTTATGACTCTCTTTGGTTTTGGAAATGTTTCATGAAGATTGAATACCACTGAAATACCGTTTTATTCGAGTAATACTAAAAATATACTTTTGCAGAAAAGAAGTATCAAAGTCGTTTTTACCTTTATCTATGTAATGATGTATCGGTGCGTCGTTGGCTCCTTTGATCCAAACTTTCCAATCATGAGTAAAACCGTCGGAAGTCTTTTTAGAACGTAAGCTCGATGTGTCTCCACATTCCAAAGATATTCTGTACTTCTGCATGATAACGTTTTCTAATGGAGGTAGTGCTCGTTCGAAATTTGTTGTCGTACTGTTAGGTTTAAGGAGATTTTGTTGTTCAGAACGAAGTGGCTGATTTAATTTTTAGTAATGAGTCCAAATAGCTGAAAAGTGAAAGCCTTGTAAGACCAAAAGTCGAAAAAGCAGCCGGTACCTCGTTGGATGAAGCGTCGTTTATCCTAATGTATTTTTAATGAATTTCTAAAATTATCTTAACACGAATTACATTTTATCAATACTCGTGGGTCTGTATTTCCTCGTGAAATGTCATGTATTGTGTAAAATACATACATTATTGTATCGATTTTTCTGTCCTCGTCGAAGATTTGCTTGCGCGTGTCAAACAAGAAAGTAAAAACTATTTGAGTTTGATAAACAACAAGGCTCTGCTGAGAAAATAACGTAAGAAGAAAAAGCTTTATCTCTTTCCGCCCAACAAAGCTTTCTTGAATTTTTCGTTGCCCATTCGGTCTTTTATTCTCAGTATATTGAAAATCAAAAATCGCTGATTTCAACTCTCAGTGCGAGCATCTTCTTGGAAAAAAAAAAAAAACGGCGCGAAGCACTCCGGCACAGAGTGCCATTGGTGCCATTTAGTTTTTTCTTCACTCTTCGTGCTCACTTTACCCATATACCTACTGTTGTTTCGAGTCGTATTGAAAATCTACGACGCTAGAGACAAAAGCCTGCACTCGAAAATCAGATAACGTATAAACGGACTTTGTGAAAAAGTAAATCAAATCGATACCTCGAGCTTGTAGGCCCCAACAGTAATTTTTTTATAAGAAGTTTCTTTCCCCGATTGTATTCAATTTATCTAAATCGGTTGATAATTGTCTTCGCCCGTTATCGAGGTTCTCCACGCATACCCACATGCATGTGAAGTCACGTCATAAGTTACTCCAAAAGAATGTTTCGGTACAATGCACACATCATCATCGGCTCAGCCTTACGCCGAGAATAAATTGGCCATTTTTGCGCGCAACTACGGACATTTATGCGTTCTTCTGTATTTTTTTTTCAAAACCACTCGATCAATGTGAATTTATGTGTTATTTGGGTTTGGAATTCGTTGTGCTAATCGGTGACTTGTTGATGTCATTTTCATCAAAAATTAATTAAAATTTTTTTTTTTCGATAAAAACTAAACTTCTCCGGGGCTTATTAAAAATCAGATCGAAGCTCAAACAAAAGCTACGTTTATTTTATTGAAAAATGTTGTTAAATAGAAGAACGTTACTTTTTTTTCCATCCATTTGAAACTACGTTCTTTATGCATTTTTCTGTATTTTTTTCAAAATTACTTAATCAATGTGAATTTATGTGTTATTTGGGTTTGGAATTCGTTGTGCTAATCGGTGACTTGTTGATGTCATTTTCATCAAAAATTAATTTAAATTTCGTTTTTCGATTAAAACTAAAGTTCTCCGGGGCTTATTAAAAATCAGATCGAAGCTCAAACAAAAGCTACGTTTATTTTATTGAAAAACGTAGTTAAAGAGAAGAACGTTATTTTTTTTTCCATCCGTTTGAAACTACGTGCTTTATGCATTTTTCTGTATTTTTTTCAAAATTACTCAATCAATGTGAATTTATGTGTTATTTGGGTTTGGAATTCGTTGTGCTTATCGGTGACTTGTTGATGTCATTTTCATCAAATATTAATTTAAATTTCGTTTTTCGATAAAAAAACTAAATTAACAATCAGATCAAAGCTTAAACAAGAGCTACGTTTATTTTATTGAAACATTTAGTTAAAGATAATAACGTTAATTCTTTTGGTATCCATTTCGGAATATGAGATTATGAAGAATTTCCACTTTGCGGGTGTAGGTATAGCGAGGTTTCGATCAGTGAAAACAAGAAGAATTTTCAGTAAAAATATTTTTTTTTATTTCATAAAATAACAAGTTTATACATTCATCAGTTGAATTGCATTGTAATCAAATATTCAAGTTTTTCATCTGAATCGTATAGTTCATTTGATAAACACCTTGTACTCGAACTGTAATCACCTGCATTACAATTGTATACACGAGGAAAACGTCCGAAACGCTGATCAAACGATGGCATCGTGATGTTGTACCCTTATTCAGGCGCCTGTAAAATATAAGTACCTTTGCTAAGATAATCGAACTATCAATAAGTTACATACAACATACAGTTACCAAAAGTGCGAGGATGAAAAATGAGGATAATTTTATTGTTACAAACTTTGACGAGTCAAAAATACACAGCGACATTTGCAGTAACGGTAACAGGTATGGAAGGAAAGCACGAAAAATTCATCATCCATAGAATGAATTGTTTTCGAGCGTCATCGATGACCGATACATCGTTTTGGCTTATGCTTCCATAGTTGACTTTAGACGAAACTCAACCGAATTTCAAGAACTCAAACTGTGATACGAATAACACAACAACGTAAATCCACAGCTCGAGTTGCTTTAAATTCCTGGTAGTTATGCAAGTATTGTACGGGCGCAATCTTCATAGGAACACCTAAAATTCATCGATCGCGAAAATGAAAAAAAAAAAAAAAAAAAAACTGCAGCCACAGCATCTCCCACGGTGCTTAGTCACACTGATCGCTTCACTTCGATAGTCTAGCTTTATGAGTACAATATCAACCATACAGCTAGATCACCAAAGAGAAGCAAACCGTGCATATAATATATGTTACTCAATTGTGGGCATACAAGCGTTTAATTGTCCAAATGGTCCTGTAAAGAGAATTACATCATCTTGGTTAATAGGAATATCGTGATCCATCGCGTGGGCGCTACGGTATCGCACAAACGGAGTATTTGTTACCATAAGCGCGTATATTTACATTAAATTAACAATAAAATCACACTGATGACGTTTCGGCTGTAGAGAGAGAGAGAGAGAGAGAGAGAGAGAGAGAGAGATGAACGCAATCCATCGCATTGATAAATATACACACATATTAAAAGTATACATATTCATAAAACTTGTATTATACGTACAAACTACGCATCAGCAGTATATATGTATATACGGTATGCACGTGCCATCCTCTCTCCCTCCCCTCTGCCGTGCAGAGTTCCCTCTAGTCTCAAAATGAAAAGAGACGGACAAATGGAAGAGAAAATAATACACACAGCGGCAGCAGCAGATGGCCGGAAAATGCATTCCCTTTTCCTTGCACGCACACACACACTACTGCTGATGCATCATCTCCTTTTCCCCCTGCGGGGGGAGAGCTGGGGCATGCCGTGGCGACGACGGTATATGTTATTATGGCCATCAAGGGCGCAGGTGAGCAGCTGCAAGGGCGCGCCGTTAAACCCCGATGCAGGTTTTTCGTGCCGATTTCTCTCGTTACTTGGGCGCTTGCGGCCCGATGATTCAACTAATCAGGCGCTTGGACCAAGTACGCTAGCTTTGTGCTTCATCGACAATACAGCACCGAAAGCTTAGCAGACTGCGGTCAGAATGCACTGATTGTATCATGACATATCCAACAGGTGCCTGCATCCGGTCCTTTAATGATGTCCGTTGGTGATGTGCGTATTTCCTTTTTTTATTTTTTTTTATTTTATTTTATTTTTTTTCTTCTTTTTCCTTCTCTTTTCGTATCAAAATGTATACGATGATGCAAACTACATGTAATATTATACTACCAAACACCAATTATTATACGCTGGCGCGCACGTGGGTCGGACACACACACGCGCGAGCGCTCCTATATACATCAAAATATATATATTATACAGTATAGGTACATACATGCATCTTGACGATCGATCGGCGATTATCGGCTCTCTCGTATACCCCATTGAATAGCTTTACGTTTATCGGAATAATCAGTACGTACAATTAAAGCTACGCAATGAAGTACAAGCAGGAGCGGCTTTGATTGTCCGTGAAATTGAGACGCATGTACGTTTATACAGATTTACAAAAGAGCATAGGTGTATATTAATAATGCACTTAATGGTGACGCGTCGCAGAGATGTCCTATGTATATATATATATGTGTATGTGAAAATTACCTTATTTTATGTGCTCGTGGCGATACGCGAGTATACATGGACGTGTGTACCTGCAGGTTACTTTCAGAATGATCGGTAAGTATTTCAGCGATTGCTAATTTATAACCGCAAGAACTGAACCAAAATTGGCCATCGGCCGGGGTGGAAGGGGGGGTCCGCAAGACCTGAGCGAGAGTACACGCGTATACTTGAATGAATCGGGGGAAAAGAGTATATCTTTTCGGTTCGGTGTTGAATCCTCGTTGGTCGGGCTGCAACTGCGCGTGTAATATAACTCGGAAAAGCGCCGGTGGCTAACTAAAGGGGCCTCAAGGCTGCCCAATAGCTTATATAGGATAGGGCACACCGGGGGCTTTTCCCCCCCTTGAAAATTCGACAGAGCGAGAAAGAGGGCCATATATGCCTGTACGAGTATATAAATATATATATACATGCACGTATGTACGTGCAGCTCTCGACGGGAGAAATGAAAGATCGTGCTCTCTCTCTCTCTCTCTCTCTCGCGTTTACCTGCGCTGCTGTCGATGCGGCTTTTCTCCCTCCCTCTTGGCTCTGATGCGATTTTGGCCTTTGGCTCGTGTGGAGCGAGAGCCCAACGCGAGGGTGGTAGGACGTCATTTAAAATGTTAATTAATAATGCCTCCGTGCGGTGTGACAAATTTTAACGTGTCTCTGTGTATAATATGCGTTTTTTTTTATACCGATCGGTATCGCGTATATTTCGGATCGTTAAGGCAAAAGGGGTTTATAATGACGGAGGAGAGCCGGGGCCGTTCAACGGAATATGTACCGAATGATAGTTCGCATCGGTAACCGATTTTACATTTGCAAGGGCCATTTGGTGACGATTCATGGGGATTTGTTTATTGAATGAGGTTTCGCCGCGGTTTCTTGGAGTCACCGTTCATTGAAATACTCACTTGAAAGTTAAAAGGACTCACAAGCGTCCCGTTTGTAATATATATTGTTTCGGGTGAAAATATAATACGCGCGCCGTACACGGACATGCATGAGATGATGAAAATGGCATTGGGATCGATACATGTATGTATGTATATGTTGCAGACGCTCCACATGGGGTACACGACATCATGCATGTGTAGGCCCCACAGAGGAAAAACCGAGGGAAAAGTGCACAGAGCGCGGATCAATAACTGAATCTTCTACGGCTCAACTTCCTCAACCGCTTCTCACATACGGGACGAAAAATGTGTACATGTACATATACGTGTATTCGTGTGTACACGCATGGGTGGCTCGGTAATTAATTTTTTTTTTTTTTTTTTTTTTTTTTTTCTTCAAAGAAATCTAAAGGTGTATTAAAGTAAATTTTTGTACCTATGCATGAATTTTTTTTTTCTTTTTTTCTGTCTCAAGATTTCAAATGAACATTGTTGCCAAGCGCCTTTGGTTCGTTGTTAACGACTCTTTTAAAACAAATTGATTCCAAGAAATTATTCGAAATGTTAATAGTAAACACATCGGCTCGACGATAAACATATATATCCACACACCTGTACGACACGAATATCGAGATCTTAGCTTCCGATTGTTATCTTTCGACAGGTAAAACGTGTATGTATCACTATTAAGTATACTTACACTTTCTCGATGTACTTACATGTATGTAGTATTTTAATTATTATCAGTGAGTTTCTATTTCAAACCACGAAATAGTTTTTGTCGCACATCATGAGCTACTTTATGCCACATTTCATTTTCCTTCCTCTGCTGTATTTGGTAAAAATCTACTTGTGTATGTATAAATATATATATATATATGTACGCGGGTCCGAAAAATTCCTCGAGCAAGCGCGTATCCGAGTACGGCATCGAGCCCGAAACAAACAATACGCCGAAGGACGACGCCTCGAAAACAATAGGGACGAAAATTTCCAAAATCCCCATGGGTGCCGTTTCAATGAGTATAAACGGAAAGGTTCGACTTCAGCGGCACTGCGGTCCGTGCGGGCTTGTAAATTACGCCCTTCCTTGTTTCAGTTCGATCAATGGCCGACGCGAGAAATCTCGCTTTCACGAAAAATCTCCCCGCACTCGACCGTTTCACGAATTTTTCCTTCCCCCACGACTTTTGCACGTCCACGGTGACCGTAAATTGTTATCTGTGTGCATACATGACTTCACTCGATGACAATGAGCATAAAATGAAAACCGTACTGCAACAGTTGCGACAAACTTGTCATTTTAGAGGAAATAAAAGATATCTATGCCGAGTCTTTCTGAAACGAGCGCCCCCCCTTGCCCATCAGCGAGTCGCGAGGCACTACCGGTGTCCTTGATGGCAACGGGCTCGCGGAAGATCGAAAATCGGCCTCTCGTTGGTCCAGACCTCGTCCCCGGAGCTGTAGTGGGACTCGGTGATGCACCAGGGCCTTTTTAACTCGGCTGGTGCACAGCTGCGGGGAGGATTCATCGTTATCGGGGACGATGGCTCGTTTGACCGATCTGGAAAAGAAAAACATTGAAATAAAGTTGCAACTGTACACCTATAGCTTCCACCATTTGTAAATATGAGATGCACATCAGTTGAACAATCATACGAAGAAGGCAAGTAAAAGTACCTTTTCACACCATACTCCTTTCGGTTGCGGATTGTATACAATTTGTATATTTTACTCTTCGGAGTCGTTTTTTGTTGCATGCGCGTGCTTCAATTCATTTAATTTTTCACAACTATCGAAAACTCAGTGTTATATATGTATACATAACGCGTTGTGGACAGCTTGTGCTCATCTATTGTTTGTACTGTTTTTCGCACTTCGAACTGCCGCGAGGTAATCAAACAAACAGTTTAAGTTGAACATTTTTTACTTACGCTGGTATATTTTCATACTCTTTTTCACACTTCATATCGTTTAACTTATTATATCTTACCATATATTATAGTCACAGCGTCCAGTGGACTTTTTTTAGCGTTTAATAATTATACCTTATGTATAATATAGTCATTGACTTTCCCACACTGAATATTCTTCCTGATGTGTAAAATTAGATGCATCCAATGAATATATGTCGAGCAAGTGCGTAAACTTTATTTTTAAAGGATACGTGGGTATTCGCTATACTTACAAGGTGGTTATTTGTTTTTTTTTTTTTTTTTTTTTTTTAGTTTATAACGAGGCGTAAGACGTATGCAAGAATATATATTTATTTATCAAAGTATTCTTCTTTTTATAATTACAATCGGTACGTGCGAAAAATTATAGTATCAGGATGAAAAGCCTTGAAATTTAATAAGAGGTTCGTCGATTCAATTCTTATGACAACTATAAATTGACCTCATGTTGCTTTTAAATAAAAATTGACGAATTCTACAACGTCAATGAGCTTTGAAAATTGTTGCAATTGGGTAAGATAAAAATTGTGTGTGAATATCCTTTGTAGTTGCATTAAGATAAAAAACTGATTCTTACTTTACTTGTATCTGTAACAAAAAGTTTAAGAAAAATTTCAACAAAAGGACTATTACGAGTTGACGATAAACTTGAATTGTTATTTCATTATTTTCTGCACATCTTTTCATAATTGTATTGTTTTAAATTATCATTTCATTTCGTGATTTCGTCATTTCGTACTAACTGCGCAGACGCTTACGAATGCGAAAACTCAGTAAAAAGAGACACCGATAGTCTACACACATATCAAAGCATTCAAAGATAGAACAGCTCTCTCTGTCTCTTTCCGCATCATTGTGTCGTGGAGGCTTCAAGAGAAACCGAAAAACATATACCTATATATACACAAAATCTCTCGAAAGAGTGTGTGTAACCAAAGCTATACATAAACAAGTCTGGTGTAACTGTGTATGAATAATAAGTATAGTACGTGCGCGCGTGTGCCGGTTTCATCTCCAACTTGCTCTTCCTCTTGGCTTTAGCGGCTTGTGCCTCTCATACTTAAATTAAGCAATACACAAGCGTGCAATGGCGTCTGGGGTAAGTTATTACGGTCCATCCCCGTTTCCTGGTGGCAAAGGTCGTGCAGCCGGTCGCATCGACCTCGTGGTCGGCTGTTCCGGGACCCGCGCCGTAGCTTCCCGTACACGGGATCGCCAGCTGGCTCGACCGAGACTCATTTTTCTGTTAATCTGCTTGCAGACACTCTACACGTATCCGGACAACTTCCGGGCCCACAAGGTGCTCATCGCCGCCGAGTTCTCCGGGGCCCACGTCAAGGTAGCCGGGGACTTTGTCTTTGGCGAGACCAACAAGACCGAGGAGTTCCTCAAGAAGTTCCCGCTTGGCAGGGTAAGTTGCATGCGTGTCTAAGTGGTTTTTTCATTTTTAATCTTATCCCGCGGTCTCGTAGGTCGCGCATTCGTTGCCGGCTTAATTTTTGTTTGCAACGAGATTGACTCGGTTTTTTGTGCATCTCCTCATTTTTGGCACCTGCGAATTGGGCTCGAGTCGATCCGGGCTCAGGGTGAAAGGCTTCCAAGTTCGGCTCATCGACAACGGGGTTTTTGTATGAGAGGTTAGAGCATGCGTGCGCGCGAGTTGAGTAGCATACCTTCTGGCACAAAGTCCAGATGTTACAGCTGGATTCTAAAAATACCCAAGACCTGGCTGTGTTTTTCCCGAGATTGTATTTTTGCGATTGTTTCGGCCATTGGCTTGTACGTTCTCGGCTGATTTTATACTCGTTGAGATTATAATATATATAGCAGCGCTTATCAAAGGGACGAGATTCATCATACGTGACCATTTTTATAGCTGTACATTGATCATGTATTAATTCGTATATTGCTCAGCTTGTAATTTACAAAAGTACTTTATAATTTGATATAATGTCAAGTTCAGTCATGGCAAATAATATTGATGAAACTTTAAAACTCTAAAACAAATTAATAAAATTATTGCATCATGATAGATTTCAAGTTTATTTGTTAGATTGTTATATTTTTTATGTAGCTGAGTCCTTTCCTGACTGTTGGTGAATCGATTATAATTTTTAACTTTTTTTCAGGTTCCAGCCTTTGAAACTAGCGATAATCAATACATTTCTGAAAGCAATGCAATTGCTTATTATGGTAATACATTTTACATCGTTTAAATATCAAACGACAAAAACGAAATAACTAAACGTCAAATATTAATTTTCAGTTGCTAATGAGCAGCTCAGAGGGAAAACAGAGTCAGAGCAGGCTCAAGTTATTCAATGGATGAGTTTTGCTGACTCTGAAGTTTTGCCAGCTAGCAGTGCATGGGTGTTTCCTCTACTGGGTATCATGCCCTACAACAAACATGTAATGTCTTTTTTATCTTTATGCATCACCTCTTTAAAAGGCGAGATTTAATGTAATTGTTCAATTTCGTAACGAAAAGAGGAAAATCAAATGGTATAAGTCAATAGTATTTGCACATTTTGCAAGTGCTTTGTCTAATATACCTACAATCCATGTTTAATTGTAAAAAATTTTTCTTCAAGAGTTTTCTTTTTTTAAACATGCATTACTGTTGATGGCAAGAGCAAAAATTAAGGTAAATGGTTTTTTATGTTACAGAACGTTGAGACTGCTAAGGAAGATGTTCACAAAGTCTTGAAATACTTGAATGAATACTTGCAGCAAAAAACTTATCTGGTCGGTGAAAGGCTTACATTAGCTGACATCTGTGTCTCCATGACCTTCTCCTACTTATTTAAATATGTTCTCGATAAGAGCATACGTGATAAATATGAAAATGTTGAAAGGTGGTTCAACACAGTAATTGGTCAGCCCCAAGTCCAAAAAGTTATTGGAAATTTTGTTTTGTGTGACAAACCTGTAGAATTCGATCCCAAAAAGTATGCAGAAACTCAATCAAAGGTAAAAATTACGTTTCATTATTATTAATTCCATTAGTCTTATACTGAAAAAATAACCGCTAATTTATATTCTCTAGAGTGGAAAGAAAGACAAGAAGGAAAAGGAGCCTAAGGCTCCCAAAGAGGAAAAAAAGAAGGAAAAAAAAGAAGCGGAGCCAGCTGAGGAGCTCGACGCTGCTGACGCAGCTTTGGCAGAGGAGCCAAAGTCGTCCAATCCTTTCGATTCTATGCCAAAAGGTACTTGGGATATGGAAGATTTTAAACGGTTTTATAGTAATCAAGATGAAAAAGACTCCATCCCTTACTTCTGGGAGAAGTTTGATCCACAGAATTACAGCATCTGGTTTGCAGAATACAAATATCCAAATGAGCTGACAAAGGTATTTTTGTTTTATTTTTACTTGCATCATTTTCGTTCTCGATAGTATATTATTTTACGGAAGTAGATTGCTCATGCATGCAAAGTAGAGTTAATCTAACGGTCGATTACTTTCAGACTTTCATGTCTTGCAACTTGATCAGTGGAATGTACCAGCGTTTGGAAAAGATGCGAAAGGCTGCTTTTGCTAGCGTGTGTCTTTTTGGAAAGGACAATGACAGTACCATTAGTGGTATTTGGGTCTGGCGCGGACAGGATCTTGCTTTCGAGGTAAAGTGTGATTTTTTTTCAGAAAGCAATTGTCTAATAATACATGGTTGTTTTGATTAATTGTTAATTTTAATTTACAGTTGTGTCCCGATTGGCAGATCGATTACGAATCTTACTCCTGGACGAAACTAGACGCAACAGCAGAAAAAACAAAAGATCTTGTAAAGCAGTACTTCAGCTGGACAGGCAAAGACAAGGATGGTCGTGAATACAAAGAGGGCAAGATCTTCAAATAAAACCAACTTCTACATTTTTAAAAGTATTCGTAATAAAAAAATTAATTAAGTAAAACACAACCAATGAAAATAATTCTTTCCTATTAAGGACTGCTTCTTTTCCTCAACTATTTCCTTGGATTAAACAATTGTATTTTTAAAGGATATCAGTATAAATTTTCCTGATGAGTGTTTTTCTATGAAAACAATTTAGCTTGGTTAAATTTGACTAAATAAAAAGTAAAGGATCTTGAATCAACGCAATTATGTATCAAAACAAAAGCAGTTTATTTACAAACTAGGAAACATATTCAAGGAATACCAAAAGAATAAACAAAATTTAAAATCCTTTCATGTCCATCCATGCTTTTACAAGAGATACATAGTCTCCGCGAAATTTTATAGTGCCTGCAATTTCACTAACCCTGCTACCCGCCTCTTTCAAATGTTTATTTTTTGATTTCTTCTGAAGATACATTTTGATGTCCTTTTCTAATTGCCAAATGTCTCCTTGAATTAATCTTATGCACGTAATTTTTCTCGAATTTCTGTAGGAAAGCTCCAAATACACTGGTTGCATGTGGTTTTTGTTTCTTTGAATGAAGTAAGGTAGCTCACGGGCTTCTTCTGTAGAAAAAAATGCTTCAAGTATTTAAAAAAACAATTCACTGCATCATTAGTGATTTGAAATAGAATTTACCTTTGGGTGGCACCCATCCTGATGGAGCAGGTCCATTAAATTTTTTAGGGTATGGCACAGTTTTTAATGGTAATATTCTCTCCACAAACTGCCATTCTTTAGGATCTGTTGATACTTCAAAGTCGGTCAGTTGTGATTCATCTAATTTTTCAACATTAATTTTTTTAAAATCAATATGATTGCTTCTTGTTTGATTCTGTAAACACGAATAGTAGTAACGAAATCACTAATAATTAAATTTAAAAATTTTTTTGTGGAGTTGAAAGGGTGTGCATAAAAAGAAATTTCTGTTCGAAACAAGAAATACAAATATATTATATTCACATCCAAACTAAGTACTACAAAATAATTTACACAACAAATCCCTTCAAGTCAACGTAACCTCCCACGGCACGAAAGACAAAGATGTAAAAACCAACCTGCAGACGGACAGCTGCAGGTGCGAGGGCGACTTCGCTGGACTTTAATAGCGTATTCACCGCCGCACGGCCCAGAAAATATAGAGCCGTAGCCATCCGTCCCTTAATAACAATATAACTCGCTAATACACTTGATCATTAAATGATACCTAATGGCCGTATTCCACAAATGCTATCAGCTGTTAAGTTACGTAGGTCGTGGTAATGCCGCATGATCGGGCGGCGCTAGTTTTCACTCCCATGCCACCCCCACCCGGGCCACCCCGGGGGCTGATAGCATTTGCGCAACACAGCTTCTGATTTTATCATTCTGGTAAAGAGAGCACACGGTGTAAGATATTACGTGGAGTGTTATGTGTAGTAATTATAGTAATCACTACCAAGTAGTGCCATATGATCGATTTTATTAAACTATGTGAGTATCTATAATTTTGGAGGTCGATTTTCGGGTAGAAGATAATTTTTAAGCTTGCCGCCAATAGCACAGACCATGTCGAATTTTTATTTTACATTTACGAGATTAGTTGCGGCTGGTCTATAATTGATTAAATGGCTCTACTGTAAGTAGTAATATTAATCATTATTTCGATCAGCGCCATCTAGCGTTGCGGATTTCTGAACAGTCTGAACTAAAAAGTAGCCCTAAAATTCTCATAGTTAAATAAAATCGATCATATGGCACTACTTAGTAGTGATTACTATAATTACTACACATAACACTCCACGTAATATCTTACATCGTGTGCTCTCTTTACCAGAATGATAAAATCAGAGGCTGTGTTGCGCAAAAGGTGCCAGCAGTTAAGTTACGTAGGTCGTGGTAAGGCCGCATGGTCGGGCGGCGCTAGCGTCAACCTAACTATGTATAACTTAACTAATGGTAATGGTAATATATTTGCGGAATACGGCCAATATATATATATATATATCTTGATGCTCAACAAGATACAACTCCGAATGCAGTCTGCTGAGCATGCTCCGAGCACCCGAGACCCGAGCAGACAAATCGACGAATGTTTAAATTGCTGCGCGCGCACGGTTAACGTCAGAAGCCGTGAATCGGTGAATCACGTGTGCTGTTTGACGACGATCAATTGAGTCAGCCTGACATTTAGTTGACCGTCAATTTCATCAGAGCTCTGTAACTTGTAAGTGTATATATAGAGGCTTGTATAGGCTCGTTTTCTTCTTTCGTTGTTCGTGTGCAATGTGTGCATCATCATACGATATTCACGTATACACCTACTTACTTTATTCTTACTTGCTTGGAAAGTTGGAGGGTATACAACACACAACGTGCAAAGAAAGAGGTATACATAGGTATACACCTTGTGCATCAGCAAATAATAAATATTGCATGGCCTTTTCCCGTTGGTTGTACTTACTTAGATCATCGTCGTCAACGTGTTGCGCTGTTGCATTTATATAGTATAAGCACCACGTGAAGGATACTTCATCACACCGAATATAGGTATGTATCCTTGTGTGTAAGCCTATTCAGTCGGCGGTGATGTACCTAAATATATGGACAAAGGGCAGGAGGACTTGCAGAAGGCACCGATTGACTTGACATATATTATTTTACGTAGGTAGACGAGCCACGAGCGATTGACTGAGTGTGGACGTACTTGGACATCAGTCAGAGGTAGCGAGGTCCTTTTCATCAGCTATACTTACATTTGCGAGTGATCATCACTTACACCAACTCCTGTAGTATTAAGGTGAGTTAATAGTACTTAACTCTGTTTTCTTTGTTTATGCATGTATGATTTATCGGGTAAGTACCTATAATCACCATATTTTCACTTGTTTGGACAACGAAGGGGGATTTGTTTTTGTTTATTCGTCCAATGGGTACCTTCATAATTCATGCATTTACTTGGAGTTGCGAGACGGGAGGGAGTATTGTTTTTTGTGCATACACCTACTTGTATCAATTATTTGTAGACCCAATGGGCGAATAATGGTTATGGGATTCCTCATGTACGTATGCTGTGTATGTGTGTGAGCGTCTCGCAAAAGTGTATATAGGCACTAAAGTCTGAATAAACTCATGGGGGGCCCGTTACGACGTCCGTGCGTAACGTGACTTTTCTACTTACCCATCATACCATACGCCCAGTAAAGGGAGATTTTATGTGTTTTTACGTGTACTTTTAAACTCCATTACAAAACAATAAGGGATGCATTTCGAAGTAATCATTCGGGAAAACCCCTTGGTCTTTTGTTTACATTTTTAACGCAATTTTTAAAAATTTTAAGGGGTTTTTTTTTTTTTTTCAATAGGAGTTACAACTTTAGTGCCTGCACTTGATTGTCTTTTGTCAAACGGAATTTCGAATTGACTTCTTATTTTTTTCTTCTACATTTTCATCCGAATTTTCTTGTTAATTATAACATATTTCTTTTGTTTTCTGTTTTGTCCATCGGTATAAAGTACGTGACAAAGAAAAAAAATCATCGTAATTGATTAAAATAAATTCCACACGTTAGTTTAATGAGTGTTGCTCTAAGGTAAACAAAATAGTTGTAAGCACTAATGATTTTTCTGAAAAAAACAAAAACGAAAATTTCCTGTCGCAAGAGTATAGTTTTGAAATAAAGTCTCGAGTTAATTAATTGGCTGTGTAGTCTAAAAGAATGTAAGCCCTTATATATCGATTTTAATTAATAAATAGACGTAAGATAATGTTCCCGCCGCAATAGTATCTAATGGAGCACCAAACTTCGCTAGTTAGCACACGTATCATATATTCGAGTCTTCAGCGATGCAAACAAACGCATAATCCGAAGGCTTCGCTACGAGAGGCGCTAGAGGGGGATATGATGTACACCACTATGTTGCCCGCAAAATTGTTGTTATTATTTTTCAATCCATCCGTCATCTTCGGCTTGACATACAAATATAAATTCTTCAACCTTCCGTAATTGTCGGATCATCCAAAAAATTCGACGGAACGAAATTTTCGTGTAAACACCTTGTTTAAGTAGTCACGGATTAAATATAGTCAGACGCGCACGTGCTCGCCTGGCTAGCTCTTGCAGCATTGTTTCTTGGTTATGTTTCTAAATGGATTTTCATTGCTCGGTTTAAACAAATTCACTCCCTTTCGATAATAATGTTCGTCATTTTATTAAAATATTGTTCAACAATGGTTTATTTAACTAAATTTGCCCATCCCTAACGCCACCCCCGTAGCATCATCGCTCGTGTCCCCTACCTTTTTTTTTTTTTTTTTTTTTTTTTTTTTCGGTATATGTTTATTTATTTTTCAATCGTTCAATGTGCAAGCAATATGTATTAATATTTGACTTCTTGGTCATTATACATCTATAGTAACTGTTTNTAGGACAACTTCATATCTTAGGCAATCAGTTATTTTTTTAGCAGTTCAATAAAGTATGCACGTGAACATTCTCAAAAAGCGAAAGAAAATAAACTCACAGCAGCCAATCGATGGCAAGGATCAAAGAAATATCCCCAGATGGAAGTCCAACGGTGTCCAGCACCATGACCATCGTGACCAGGCCGGCTTGAGGGATACCGGCAGCACCGATACTCGCCGCGGTTGCGGTAATACTACAAATGGACCAATAAGTAGCGCAATTCATCGTTGCTTTCATTAAAAAAAAAAAAAAAAAAAATTGGTTGTATATTGAGTATTAGAGCAATTGAGTATTGGTGTCAGAGCAACCATCGAACGGCGAAAGAAAAGGAGGAGTGTTGTCGCAACCTCGGACCTCATCGATCGCGCGGTTGTTTAAACTAAACGCGCCACCCGCAATCGACAACTCTTGCAACAATTTACAGAAAGAGAAAAAAGAACCCCCCCAAATGAGAGCCAAGGGACAAAGATACAACGATCGTATATATATAGCATCACGGGTGTCCGGAGCATCATCGGGTATACAAAGTAGAGCTCTTTCTCGATCTTCTCCGGTGTGCGGTGTAAGTTACGAGCGCTGCCGAGTGCTGCCACTTGACGGCGGGCTCGGGAGTTCCTCCTAATTACCGAGTCAACGTGCCCTCTCTTTCTCCTCTTCGCCTCTGCAGCTTTGGAAAAACATGTACATCGAGTCTCTCTCGGTCTGTTTTGTTGCTCCCGTAAATCGGCGATGGCTTATTGACCGCGTGTTTACGTACAACTGCTTCGGCAGGTTACACCCCGGGGAAAACACCGATCGATTGTTTTTTTTTTTTTTTTTCCTTCTTCCCACCCGGTGGTTCTTTGTCCTCTACTCTGCCATTGTCAGCTTCGTATTTTCTCTCTCCTTCACTGATACACATTACTCAACATTCCAACGTTATCGGAGCACAAGCGAGCTTTCAAGGATAAAGTCGGAAGGAAAAAAAAAAAGAAAAAAAAAAGTCCCCAAGTCGCGGACGTAAAGCCGAATAGATCGGTGTGGGTGCAGTTTTACCGAAAGGAAAGGACTATACCAAGCTCCGTTTGGCCAGGATACGAGCATCCATTTCCGAAACCCACGCATCAGACTTTTCGACCGATTCGTGAATCAACTCGTGCCGTACAGCGTTACGTGGTGTATAATATATATATATACACACATACATATGTATACCAGCGCACCCAAAGTGGGTCACGAAACAGTAGCAGAGCTACATAGCGCGGCGGGCATTCCTTCCTCTCGGCACTAGGAGTTTAGCTGCAGAGCTCATCCAGCTAAATATGAAAGTCCCGCTGTAATGTATAAGTACCCTCAACGCGTTTACATCGTAACGTTGTACCCCCATCATACCTATACCGTACCCGTGTATTATTGATATAAATATACATATATATACATATACCTACCACAGTTTAAGGATTACCGTATGCGCTCAGAGTCCAAGGATCATGTAACGGGGGGTGGGATTTTTTTTCTTTTTTTTTTCCTCCCCTTGTGAGAACAATTTTTGTACTCTTTGTATGTGAAATCGAGTCGTGTGCGTGTAAATATAGGTATAAAGTCTCGCTGTTGTGGCCAGATAGACTCGCGACGCGAAGAATCATTTATGCAACAGATTAGATATGAAACGACGTTGATACGAAGAGAGATAAATACCTACGTGTGGTATCTCTTGTTGCGACTTTTGTGCGCGTCCAACGCTTCGTCCTATAGTTTTGTAAATATATCGCGAGGTAACTCGAAAACGAAGATTCCTCCCCTCCGGGTGCTGATTTTTTATCCTGCGGAAGGACAATTATTATTTTTTCTTTTTTTTTTTTTTTTTTATTGTA